AACATCAAATCCATTTGATTTATGCTATTGAAGTTAGAGCTAAACAGACAGAGTCATCTGACTCTCTGCAGCATATATTTTTGTATTAATGTGTGTAACAATAATTCAGAGTTCCATATTGTATTGGAAACAACATTATGCACTGTTATATTGGCTTTTCTCATTCCTGGGAGCACCTTCCAAATCCATCCTTCATGAATGAACACTGTCAACTCCTGGAGACCTTTAATGACACATGCCCTGTCCAAGAATAAGAGCACAGTGGACATGAAATAGGAGAGACAGAGAGAGAGAGAGAGAGAGAGAGAGAGAGAGAGAGAGACAGAGAGAGAGCACAATTGAGAGAGAAATAGAGAGAGCTGTCTAAGGACATGGACCTTCATCCTTGAGGAATCTTGAAAAATAAATGTCCTCTCCTCCCCCAAATGGAGGATGGAAAATAGCTTGATGTTCAGTGTAAACTTGCTTGATTTCTTCTTCCTTCTCAATTTAATATATTTTTAGTGATGTTAACTGATCTGAGAGTTCCAAGCTTTTGCCTCCTCCTGTTGACTTCTGCATCTGAATGTTTCAGAAATTCATAAATGAATACAGGGGCTCCATCTGACCTGAATATTTGCTGTGTGTCCTTGACCTCAGGTGCTCAGACGGAAGTATAGCCTGATGAAGGCAGAAAGGGCCCTGATCTATGGTCTTGTCATTTATTATATTGGGAACTGCTAGAGCTGGATACTACTGTAACATGGGAGGAGCCTGGCTTTGAGGGGGACACTGACAGTAATATTGGCACAACATGAAATCCATCTCTGAAACATCCCATCAGCATCTCCCAGTAATCAAAGCCATTTATCCCTGCAGCTGAGCTCTGTGAGCACTGAAGTTTAGGGATATGTTACTGATCAAGACAGACAGTGTAGCTTCAGTGTAAGCAATGACAAACAGGGGAGCTTGGAACCAGCAGGGGGCGCAATGGAGCCAAGACTCCCCAGACGAGATCTGAGGTTGGTGTGGAGGGGACTCTGTGTCCTCTGTGGTTTCATTTCTTATGGTCTACTAGCTGACCTGCACCTGCTGTTGTTGACGTGCTGTTTCCATGCATGAATACAGTAAAGATTCTTTGTCAAACTTTCTATGGGTTTCTATTTTCTTGCTTATTTTACTCAGTTTGCATTTACATTTTATATTTTTTATTTGAAAAAATTTTTACAATGTAATCTGTTCACTGATTCCACCCCCTGCTCTTCCTATATTTTCGTGTATCCTCTCCTAACCAACTCTACACACTGCCTTCTCTTCAGGAAAAAAAAAACAAATAGACAAAAATAATTTAGGAACGTGATTAATACCAAACAAAAATAAAACAGCCAATACTCTTACACACAAGCACACACAAAATCCAAAACACAACTCTATAATCATGATATACAGTCAGATATAGTGAAACAAAAATGCACAAAGTGATATGATTGAAAACCTTTTAAAAAATACCCTTGAGTACAATTTTGTCAGAGCCTGTGAAGTAGCTGAGCATGTAAAGGTGTCTACTGGCAAACTTAGCAACATCTGTTTGATTGCTTGGACCCACATGATAGGACACAAGAACTGAATTCCATAAGTTGTCCTCTGATGATCACACATGCACCTTGGTCCATGGCTCCCCTGTTCACACCACTGAAGACAGTATAACAATTTTTAAAACTATTACATGGATGGAGAGAAACTCCTGAGGACCCACACAGAGCTGAGAATCTATTGGCATTGATATTAGACGAGGAAAATGTAATCAGATTTATTTGGAAATTTTCTGGAGGTTTCTGGTGTACTAGTGAAAGACTCCACCTATGTGTATATAGATGTTATTATTTAATGAATTAAAAGAGGTCATGAAGAGGGACAGAGACATAGGAAAGCCCCAAGAGGAACCAGTGTGACACAATGGATATAGATATGATCATACTGTATTTTATACATGGATTAAATTTTCAAAAATTATGAAATATAAAAATAGCAATTTTTCTATCTTTAGAAGTTTCCTACTCATGTAATTTATATACTATTATTTTTCCCATAATCTCCTCTCTTCATTTTCTTTCCCCTCCTACTTTACCCTTATTCTAATAGACAATTTCACTCATGCTTCATCATGTATTTCTATTCATAATTATATACAAGCATGCAATATCTAAAATCTGATGATTTTAGTCTCACTTAATGTCTGATTTCTGAGATGGTCTTAATCAATTTATCTCTAACTGCAACCATTTATCTATAACAGATGTAATTTCCATATTCCTTGTAGAAGAAAAAACTTCTGTTTTGTTGTTTATTTAAACATGTCTTCTTGATGAGATCCCCTCTTGACAGATACATAGTTTACATTCACAATTTAGTGATGCTGCTACAATAATCATTGTCGAGCAAATATTTCTGTGGTACATTTGCTTTGTTTCAATTGGGAGGGATTCTTAGTATACAATTTGTTGGCAAATATTCATTACATATATCTGAATGGAGGTTGTGAACTTCAAACTTACCAGGTTTTAAATTTCCTGTCACTGCCATCACCATCACAGCCACCATCTGTAAATTAATCTGATAACCTTGTCACACACTGGGGCCACTCTCTCATGTCTGAAATCTAGGATGCATTCTTACTCAAGCAAACATTTCTCTGCTAAGATTTATGTTTCAGTCCCACACAGCCTATGAAGACCTGCCTGACAACAATTCCTGGACACCCTGGAAAGAAATTGGGCCATAACTCCTTGACTGCACTGGATCCTACTTACTCAGTTTCAACTGACACTCCGAACAGAACTTCGGGTACTGACTTCAATCAAGTTGAAGATTTCAAGTGAGATCTTCAATCAAGCGAATCCCATCTAACATGGACTGGATACAATACGTTCAAGACTTTCACTACACTAACATTTTCTTCCTACAGGACCCCACAAGGCTATCTCTGTCCCATTTCAGCAGGAAGTAACTTAGAGGATGCCACGCCCCCTTTCCCCATTGTTGTCATCTTGGACACCTCTTTCAGATGATTTTAGGGTTTAGTTAAAATAGATAGTTAGGGTGTAACATAAGCAGATTGTTGTGTCTTCTTATATTTCTCCTTTATGATTGTTAATTTTGGACACTTTACACTGTTAAGTTTTAATCCTCTTTTAGACTAAAAGGGGAATTGTAGGGGATGCTGTAGCCTTGCCTACCTAGGGTCTGGCTACAGGTGTGCCTAACCACACCTGCAAGGGCGTGGTCAGGGTGACCTAGAGTGAGGGATGCTTACTTGGTGCTCTGCTTTTGCTTTCATCTTTGGCTTGATATACTTACCACTGTCCCACCAGCTGGCTAGGACACTCTGTAAGTAAAGCTTTTCCCTATTAAATTCCCTTGTATATTCACCTGGCTCCATATTGGTAATTTCCTACATTAGAGAAAGGGTAAAATAAGAAGTTTGGGGGATTTTTGTCTGTGTGTATATTTGAAACTGTTTTAGTTCCATGGACCTTGTGATTCAGAGAGGGGGGCCAAGAGCAGGAGACAGGGACAGAGACAGAGACAGTGACATACAGAGTGAAGGACATCCCACCCTCAGGAGTAGGGAAAGTAAGCAGGAATATTAGGGAACACAGAGAAGCAGAGGTGGACTGAAAGCATCCCTGACTGAGGGAGTGCTTTGGTTTATCAGGGACTGGAAGGCACACAGTGTCCCAGGGGCCAAGGACTCTGACCTGGTAACCTATGACATGTGCCTCTCAATGTAGCTAGACTGGAACAACTCCATGATTCCAGGCAAAATGTGAAAGGTCAAGCAATAACAAGAAGATTAATTTTCAAAGGTTCAGTGACTTAGCATGCCATAATTCTCTGTGGTCACTCTGCAGTAACAGTGTGTAGGGATGAGCTGGATCCAGCTGCCAGCAGGGAAGTCGATGGTGTTGAGAGAATCATTAATAACGATAGAGGCACCGCTTACAATCAGTCTTTGCCACATCATTCAGTGCTTCCAGGAAAACAAGAGCCTATTTTCCTGAAGATGAGCTCTGTGAAGATTGAAGTAGTTGGAATATGTTGCTGCTGAAGCCACACTTTGAAACTTTATTGTAAGCCAAGGCATATCAAGACCAGCAGGGGTCACAGTGTAGCCACACATCAGCAGGATAGAAATGAGATGAGGGCAGGAGGGGACATCACTCTCTCTGTGGACTCCTTTTAAATGTCTGTTAGCTGAACAACACCTGTTGAATTTGGTAAGGGACATCTCCAATATTCAAACACAGTAAAATCTCTTTGGTAAATATTGCATGTTTTATTTTGTGTTTGTTTTATTAAGATTTGTTGTGGATATTTGAAAACTATCTTTCCTATACTATTTTTAGATCACAATTTCACTACCCAGTTCCTCCCTCATCTTTAATATCTCCTTACCACTCAACTTTACAATGTCTCTATAAAAAGTCAGCACATAGACAGAAAAGAAAAGGATAAAACTGCATACATAAACACACACACACACACACACACACACACACAGGTAACACACAGTGTTAACAAGCTGGGAAAGTAAATATTGTTAGTTAATGAGATAATAACACAAATTCTCCCAAATGAGGAGCTTTTGAAATATCTAATCACAATTATTGCCACCCAACTGAAACCAATATTTTAACCAAGAGAACTAAATATCTGAGATTGGGATTCTATTTGTAAATAAAGGGATTAGGTTTAAGACATATCCACAGGGTCCGCACAGGTCTCAGGAATCACAATTTCCACAGACAGGATGAGGATTTGGACCTCAGCATCCTGCTGCCTGACCCAGGTGTCCTCCACCTCCTTCTTCTCCAGCTGGACTAGATCCTTATCTAAGAAGCACCCTGCTCATGAATATGCAAATCATGTGAGTCTATGAATGTAAATACAGGGATGTCCACACCACCAACTATACATGATCAGTGTCCTCTCCACAGTCACTGAGCACACAGGTCCTCACCATGGGATGGAGCTGGATCATTGTCTTCCTGGTGACAGCAGCTACAGATAGGGGCTCCAAGTTCCAGACTTGAGGAGGTGCCATGCTCTCAGGTGACAGTGACATCGACTCTGCCTTTCTCTCCACAGGTGTCCACTCCCAGGTCCAGCTGCAGCAGTCTGGGGCTGAGTTGAGGAGGCCTGGATCCTCAGTGAAAATGTCCTGCAAGGCTTCAGGCTACACCTTCACTGATCATTTTATGCACTGGGTGAAGCAGAAGCCTGGACAGGGTCTGGAGTGGATTGGATGGATTTATCCTGGAGATGGTGATACAAAGTATAATCAGAAGTTCCAGGGCAAGGCCACGCTGACTGCAGACACATCCTCCAGCATAGCCTACATGGAGCTCAGCAGCCTGACATCTGAGGACTCTGCAGTCTATTACAGTGAGAGAGACACAGTGTTGATTCCACATCCTGAGTGTGTCAGAAAACCTGGAGGAGCAGGAAGCTGCCCTGGGACTGAGATAATAGAGAAGATCAGCCTGGAGACTTGCTCAGAAATGATCATTCTAAGTGTGACTTGGACTGTCTCTTTCTCACAGTACTATAGTGACTTTGTTCACTTTTCCAAAGCAAAGGATGTCTGAGAATGATGTGAAGCTGATCCAAGATGCCCCCTACAATGCACCAGGCTTGACCACATCTTTATCAGCGACCACCTCCATTGACATGCTTCTTAATGAAACAAAAATAAAGACTAGCTGTGTCAGTACTTTATGACATAAACATCCTTTAAATCTAAGAGACTGGACTAAATGGGAATAAACACCGAGTATATGATTTTGAACTGTAAAATACAAATCAACAATATCAGGCAAACAAAAACCTATTTCATCCCACTTTGCTGTATCTGATAATACACCAAGTTCTTTGCTTCAATTTGTTCCCAAAGATTTGTGGGGAGTCACTTTACCTTTCCCTTGCAAATCTAATTTTAAACTTTTATTTATAAGTAAGTCTAATTGAAATGTATTTGTTAGTAGTAACCAAATTTCTTATTGTTTTAGTCTTAGTGATGGAGCTGAACGTCATGCTGTGGAGGCCTCAGGGTGTGGAATTTGCTGCTTAGGGCTCCTGATCAGAGCACTGGGGCCAGATCTGTGGGATTCCCAGCTCGGGATGTAAGAGGACCTTTCATGACATTAGGAACCCTGTGTACTCATTCTCCTGTTTCCTGAAACTGGATCATCTTTGACATAAGTTCTGCATTGACATTGACTGGACATTGTTGTACGGTGCACAGTGCCCTCCTCCATACACAATATTTCTGTTCTAAGTGGCAGCAAGGAAGACATGACTTCTCTTTATTCTTTGCTCTATTATAACTTTGGCATGTCTGAAGTCAATAATTTCTGTCTAAGAATCTTTTTTCTTTTAGTTTTGCTTTTACTTAGTAGAGTCCACATACACCTTGATGGTACAAATGTTGATTATCATGAATAGAAATAATTCTGTCTTGATGTAATGGGAACAATCTGATGATATTAAGACAACAAAGACAAGAAAAACATCAAAGTGGGATAATAGGGGCCAGCAAGGGTGTTTCCTGACTCTACTCAGAGTTTACTCTTCTCAGTTAACCACACACAAGGCCCAAGGGACCATCTCCTATGGCAGTTAGAACCATCCCCTAGAAGGACACAAGATCAGTTAGTTCCTAGAATCCATGTCTCTCTCCTGGGAATGCTACAATAACAGAAATGACCCAATTCTTCAATCACCATGAAGACAGTTTATCTCGTAGTGGAATAAATTTCTCTATTGAAGAACTAGGCCCCATGTGTATTGACAGCAGATGGGGTTTTAGAGCAGAAAGGGCAAATGTACTTGTGGTCCTATCCCTAACCCAGAATCAAAATCCAATTATAGCATCTTTCAAATGAAAAATTAGATTATCTGAGGGATTCTGACTGAGAAAACCAAATACCCATAAGCATAGTCTGCAGGTCCATCAGCTGATGTCGTCAGGTGTCCAATTCTAATGCATTTGGGAGGTTCCCTGTCTCATTTTTATCATACAGTTCCTTCTCCTATATAGAACAGCTTCTAATTTTGTGTTTTTATGGGATTCCTGAGCATGTAAATCAGGAGGTCTCTGCATCCACGCCTGTTTCTTGTGCCTTTTCTGGGGCATTTTCCTCCAGTTTTTTTGTTTGTTTTGTCCTGTTCCAATGTGTTATTTTTATCTAGTTTTACTTTATTTTATTTTATTCACTAGAAGCCTATTTGTTTTCAAAAGACAAGAAGGTATTCAATATGAATGGGGAGGACTTGGGAGTTGAGGAATGAGGAGGGAGTGTGGGATGCAGCTGCTTCTATCAGCAGGTGTTTCCTCTACATTCCACAGTCTGGATGGAGTGAGAAGTAGGTGTGGAGCCTGTGCTACAACAAGATGACAGCCAGCTAATTTTCTGGGAATGATTGAAGACCATCATATTTGTGGAAAAGGGAAGAAAAAATTGAGCAGTGTGGGCTTCCTGATCAAAAAACCAGGAACTCAGGAATACAAGCATGAAAAGAACATTAGCACTGACCTGAGACCTTAAAACTAAAGGGGTCTGGTGGCACTGAGGGAGTGGGTTATCATTTCATACATGTATGAAAAATTCCAAAATATTGTTTAATAAAACTATTCAAATTTCATGGTAGGCATACCTGTTATAACTTGTGTTTAAGATACATTAGTATATAGAATCATAATAATTTAAAACCCTTACATCAAAGTAATATTTAAAACTAAGGTCTAAATATGAGTGAAAAGACATGATGTTTGTCTGTCGAAATCTGGGTTACTTCACTCAAAACTGTTCCTCAGTTTAACCAGTTATCCAGAAATCGATTTTGTTTTTCTTTACTTGCAAATGCAATTAATCTGTTCATATTTATCAGATTTCTATTTCACATTATCTGTTTATGTACACCTAGAATGATTCTATTCCATAATCACTATGAATATGGTGTTTCTCGAAGTTTCAAAAGCAAGACTGATACAGATTTGTAGTTGTTTCTTAAACCTTAGTCACTTTGCTGGGACAACCATAGACACAGTAGAGACACAACCCACAAGATCCAAAACCCACTGTGAAGTTCCTTTCCTTCTTTCAGAATAAACTCAACAAGTGAAATATTATAATTCAACATTTTCTTCTCATGTAGGATGTCATTATTTCAAGATTCCTCATCTCATGACTTATTGTCCTAATCTTATGGAAATGCCACACGTTCAAGAGTACAGATAGATGGAACCATACCTGAACACAACCTAGAGACCAGGCAGGAGATGACTTGGTTAACCCAGACATGGAACCTTTGCTTCCTCTAAGGATATTAAAATTAAAAGTGAGTTAATAGCTAAGGATGATAAACACACCCAAGCAAAATGTTGGCTTGCTCCAACAAATATATAAATTATGCATTTGAATAGCTTTGTCACTTAACAAAATCTAACTCTGGAGAACAGTCATAATTCTCAAGTATATATTCTTCAGAAAAGGGGATCAAGTCTAGGCAATGGAGCATGCTACAATACTGAATTCAGTCCTCAAAGGAGGCTTTAGATTTTAATATTTCTATTCAACATTAACTCAGCTTTATCTCAATTGTCACTAAATTTTCAAAATGATATTTTATTATAATTCTGAAGCAGAATGAGTTTTTGAAATGTTTAAAGGACAAAACATTGAAGAGTTTAGCACACACACAATAAGTGACATTTGAACATTGTTACTGCTAACTCATCCATTTAACTTCTGCCTTCTGTTCTAATGACTGCCTCCTCTACTGTTTCAACTCTAGCACAGATGATATAGCAGGAAGAAATGCAAATTTGTCTCCCTCTGCTCATGAAAACCAGCCCAGACCAAGCCTGTAGCTCTAGCAGAGGGGCCCAGTCCTGACTTCCCTTGTCTCCCATTCAGGGATCAGCACTGAACACAGACCTCTCACCATGGAGTTCTGGTTGAGCTGCATCTTCCTCGTATCTATTTATAAAGGTCGTTTATGGGAACAAGAGATGCTGAGTGTGTGGGAGCCCGAGTAAGTAGAGGGCGTGAGTAAGAGGGACAATGGATGTGTGTAACATTTTCCTGACCAGGGTTCTCTCCTATTGCAGGTGTCCAGTGTGATGTGCAGCTGGTGGAGACTAGGGGAGGCTTCATACGTCCTGCGGGTTCCCTGAAACTCTCCTGTGCAGCCTCTGGGTTCACCTTCAGTGATTACTACATAAGCTGGTTCCGCCAACCTCCAGGGAAGGGGCTGGAGTGGGTTGCAGAGAGTAGAAACAAAGCGAGTAGTTACACAACACAGTACAGTGCATCTGTGAAGGGCCGGTTCACCATCTCCAGAGATAATTCTAAAAGCATCCTGTACTTGCAAATGGACAGCCTGAAACCTGAGGACACAGCCACTTACTACTGTGTAAGGGACTCCACAATGAGGGGACTCCAGACACAAACCTCGCTGCAGGGAGGTTTGTACCAACAGGGGGCACATTTCCCCTCCTCTTTCTTCCTTACAAACCCTCCTTTGTAGACCAGTGTCTCTGCCTTTAATATACTCCAGGCTTTATCGGAAGCTACCAAGTCCCTGCCATATCATGTCTCCTAGCCCAGATCCACCTCAGCAGTCTGCACACACTGTGTGTTTACTACCCCAGTATCGCTTCCCTGAGGACCAGTCTCCAGTATCTTACGGTTTGACAGGAAACCTACGATGTCAGCTCACTACCAATAAACCTGAGTTTTCTGAATTATCTGGAGCTGGTGAGGGGGACAGCTTTTAAATCTCTGGGGATGGTAAAGAAGGGAAGGAACACACACACACATATGAACACACACACACACACACACACACACATATGAACACACACACACACACACACACACACATATTCACACACACACAAACACACATATTCACACACACACAAACACTCACACTCTCAAATACACACTCACATGCACTGTCAAACACTAACACATATGCTCACACATTCACACACATACACACATACACACACTCACACATTCACACATAGGCACACAGACTCACTCACACATTCACACACTCACAACACACTCACATACACTCACACACATACTCACACACTAACACACACACTGACACACACACACACACACTGACACACACACTCACACACATTGAAGGTCTCTGTGTCAGCTTCTGGCTCAGTTCTTCCTTTCTTTTCTTACTTGTATCTGGATCCGTCCCCTCTATCCCTCTTGTCTGGCTCCTAAATCTCCTTCTACATCTTTCCTGGTGTTTTCCTTCTCTTGTCTTCATTCTTTCCTTACAGCTCTCACCTACCACAGTAGAATCTTTCCAGCAATACAAAAATTACTATGTGGTTACATTCTACTTTTCAAGTGAATTCTTACAATGAATCAAGTAAAAAAAAATAACACATTTTCCATATTCCTTACATGGTTAACCTTTTAGGTTTTACAGGTGAAAAACAAATCTCCCAAGGAAAACATACATTCATATCCAAGCAATTTGTTACAGATTAACAATGTCAAAGCAAGAAAGCTATTGTTTTACTGCCAGGCTGCATTTTGCAGTTACAAAGAAAGGACCAATAATTTTATTATTTATCTCTAAAGATAATCTTTCAAAAAATCTTAGAAGAATCATAAACCTAAAAATTATATATGAAAAAGAAACATCTCTATTTTAAATCCTCAGCGTGCACCCCATTCATTAACAGATCTGTTTATATGCATATACATTATATATTAGATCAGTAAGGGTAAGGGCAGAAAATGGCACAAGGAATTAATCATTGCCTCTTGTCACCAACCAATCCTAGCAAGGAAGGCATGTCAGCCAACAATAACTGGCTGCTGTATATTTTTTCCTGGACCTTAATGAGATCTTTCATTCCACTCTGTGCCTTTTTAAACTTCAGGTTATTTCCCAAGGTTTTCACCTTGAAGCTGTTAGCAAAATACTTTCAACTAGGCTTAAGTCATTCCAAAAGATTTCTTTCAGTGTGGATGCACTTTTAAACCTGTAAGCACATCTCCCAACACTAAGATTAAAAGAATTTGGGCTAGCTGGACTTCTGTGACTCAGATCTTTCTCTTAATGATTAACCTAAGCCACAGTCTGTAAGACTCCGCAGTAGAAAGTCACATGTTCTAACTGTGTGACATTTCATTGTACTTATTTTCTATCCTCTGAAGCCCCTGTTTTACTAGGGGCAACATTTCATCCTATCTTTATTTATAGTAACTTTTCCACCAAACTAACCTCTGTCACAATAAAAGGGGTTCCCAACCTCAGCAGACAGCAGTACTCAGGGCTACATACAACTCAGGGAGTGCCATGTCCATCAAGGTTGAAGCTCACACAGTAGGGACAATGCTTACAGAAAAGAGCTACAGAGCACATGACAAAGCAATGTCCACTGCCCTGTATAATCCAGAACATGGAGAACTGGGGGAAACTAACACTAAAATGCATCTTTCTTCTGTTTGCCAGTATAAATGAAATAGATTGAGACTCTGTGTTTATCAGGGAGTATATCTTAATATGATACAAAACTTTCCAACCATTATCTTTATTGCCAGACTATCCAAAGCACAATTATACACAAACTAGGACCTGACATTTCTAGGCTCCCACAACAGAACTTATCATATACCAGGAAGACATGCAAATAAGGCCTGTCTCTTCTCATGAAAACGAGCCCAGCACTGACCCTGAGCTCAAGCAAAGGAGCCCAGCCCTGGATTTCCAGGTCTCGCCATTCAGTGAGCAGCACTAAACAACACCCACACCATGGATTTGGGGCTGATTTGGGTTTTCCTTGTTGCTCTGTTAATAGGTACTGAGTATGTTTGTGTACAAGAGTGGTATAAATACCAAGATGTTTGTCAGTTACTGACAGGATTCTCTGTGTTTGCAGGTGTCCAGTGCGAGGCAGAGCTGGTGGAGTCTGGGGGTGGCCTAGTGCAGCCTGGATAGTCCCTGAAACTCTCCTGTGCAGCCTCTGGATTCACCTTCAGTGACCACTGGATGGGTTGGGTCCGCCAAGCTCCTGGCAAGGGGCTGGAGTGCATTGCAGAAATTAATGGAGATAGCAGTACCACAAAGTATGCACCGTCCTTGAAGTATCGATTCACCATCTCCAGAGACAATGCCAAGAACACTCTACCTGCAAATGAACAGTGCGAAGTCTGAAGACACCACCACTTATTACTGTGTTATAGACACAGTCAGGGATCTCAGTGTGAACCCAGACATAAACCTCACTGTGAGGCCACTCACAGCCACCAGGGGGCGCACAGCACACACAGAACACAGGTTCAGCCCAGCAAATAATGCAGACATGATCCTCTCTAGTATATGGGCTCCATTTTTTTTTAATCTAACAAGTTTCCGCGGAATTCTCTCTACATGTATGTACTGAAGTGATATGATGATCTCAAAACATTATATTTTTGTACTAGTATAAAAATATGAGGCATAGTCCCTCATGAACTAAATGCAAACTGATAGAGATGAGGACATAAAGGACCCCGCCTTTGTCAATGAAATCACATGGTGAAGAAGTTGGAGGACACTCCTGAATATTTTCACATTCTAGGCAGAGGCTTGGTCAGATTTCATGATTATAATTTTCATAGAATGTGTGTTTAAGAAAAAGCCAGGATTTATGCAGAACCAAGTTAGTTAGACCATAAAATCTAGCTGGTCTGGAATCCTCTCTCTCTCCTCCTCTGTCCCTGCAGTGTCCATCAGGTTCAGATCTGCCCAGATCTGTGTTTTCTAAACCAAAGCTTCCCAATACCACTGTCCCTCCTTTGTCTGTATCATGTGCAGAAATCTATGAGCTGACCTGTATTCTAGTCTGCTTGACTCTTGTTGCTAAACACAGAGACCAACACTGTTCTCCCATGATATCCTAGAGCTCAGCTGGGTAATCTACATTTCTGGACCCTGGAGCCCATTCAAATGTGAATTAGTAAATTAACAGATATAAGAGCCACAGGTTCAAGTGTCCTGTCAGCATGTCAGTCACCACTCAAACAGTGGAGGCTGCACACAAAGCAATCCTGTGTCATTCTTCATAATTAAATATACTGACTGATAAATCAAACAGACATGCATCCTGTATGTTAACTTCTGTAGCCTCTAGAAAAAAAACCTAACTTAAGGATCCCTGGTAAAATTAGGAATTATAACTGCCTGGGATAGAGCATGAATGAGACTGAGGAATAAAAGACAAATGAATGTGGGATGGAAGTGAGGACGTCCTTCTGGTTGGCTGTGCAGGTCACTTGGAGGAATTGTTTCCTGCCTGGGGGACAGACGACAGCATCACAAGGCTCAGACAGAATCCATGGAGTCAAGGTCTATGGCATTTTAACTGAGGGGGTTAAGGGAAAACACATGTACACTCTCTTGATGGTTTCCTTCTTTATGCTTTTTCTGAGTTCTATTCTCTTGTCTCATTTCTATCCAGAAATGTCCTTTCTTTCTCTCGTAATGTTTCCCTCCTCCTGATTCTTAATTTTCCCTTACAGTGTTTATACCCCTGCATAATCTTTCAAGCAATACAAACATTACAATGTGGTTACACTGAAACTTTCAGGAGAATAATTGCAGTGAATAAAAGCAAATAGAATAGCGTATTTTCCACATCTCTTATATGCTTAACATTATACATATTACAGATGAAAAGAAAGTTGTTGATGTAACCCATGTACAACCATACCCCAGCACCCTGTTATAGATTAACAGCATAAGCTACCAAGGTGTTCTCAGACAGTTCTTTAACTGACAGGCTGCAATTTGTGGCTACAAGGAAAGGGCCAATCATTTCAATCTTTACCTTGAAAGGTAATCTTGTAAGAAATCTTAAAAGAATGAAAAATCTAAATTTGTACTTGAAAACCAGCATTGTCACTTTTTATATCAGGAGATTGAAGGAAGAAATTGGTACAAGATACTAATCATCATCTTAGATAACCCTGAGGATAAAGCATGTCAGCCAATAAAAATGAAGCTGCTTTGTATTTTTGACCCTAACCTAATGAATTTATAACTCAACTACGAGTCCTTGTTATGTTTAGATATTTTCTGTTACATCTAATCTCAAAGCTATTATCAAATCATCTAATTCAACCTGCAGTTATTTTCAGGCTTGGTTGAAGCTACGATGCACACCAAAACCTGTGAATGCATCTTTCAACATTAAGATTGAAAGAATTTGGGACAGCCTGATTTCCAGGGACTCAATTGTTTTCCTTATTCATTAACCTGAACTACAGACTATGTAGCCATGGAGGTGAAACTCAGAAGCCCTAGCTGTTAGACACTTACTTGTATTTATTTTTCATTATCAAACAAATATTTATTATTATCAATTAGACAGTAAAGCTTAAGAAGAAATCATCTTCACAATAATGCACAAGCAGATATGTCCAGTAGAATGGGATGTTTCCACATGAGAACACACTGTATTACAGGCAGTGGGGGTCTCCCCACACCCATTGACACCATTCAAGATACCAAAGAGAGATGGCAGCAGATAAAATGAAAAGGAACAGCAGAAGCAAAAGACATTCTGGAGTCTATGGCCTCCAGGTTTTGCCTCTCAGAGATTCATCCATCTGGGCTTCATCTCCTGGTGAGGTGACACCTGAACCTCAATTGCTACCGGCTGCTCCTCTGACAGGGCCACCTGCAGACACAGAAGTCAAAGCTCAGCTCTCCTTGAAGTTCAGCTTCTCAGTCACTCCCCATTTCTAGGGACAAATAGGTAAACATGCAGCAAAGGAAAACTGAATTAGATGATAAAACAAGAAATACACACACTGTCTGGAAAAGCTCATGCATGTGATGAGCTGAACACTGGAATTCAGGCATGTCACATGACCTCCATACAGAAAGGGAGTTTCCCAACCTCAGGAAGCTGCTGCTCACAAAGCTATAGCTATGGAAGGAGTTTTAAGTTCATCAGGAATGAGGTCCACACAGTAGTGCTGACTTCACAAATAATGAGCACTGCAAAGCAATGTCACTGCTCTCCTAATCCAAGATGTAGAGAATTGAGATGAAATGAACATGAAAATTAGTCTTTATAGAAAAAGGGAAATATGAGTTGATTTGAAAATGATATAATTTAATAACATTTCCCCAACACTAACTTCATTATCTGATTCCCCAACATTACCATTATGATCTGATTCCTCCAGAAAATTAACAAATAACCCAGGACCTGACAAATCCAGGCTCTACTACAGAGCTTGCTATAAAGCTGGAAGACATGCAAATAGGCCCTCTCTCTGCTCATGAAAAGCAGCCCAGCCCTGACCTTAAAAAAGGTCAGGGCTGGGCTCAGAGAGAGGAGCTCAGCTGTGGATCCCAAGACTTCACTCAGGGATCAGCATGGAGTTGGGGCTGAGCTGGATTTTCCTTGTTGCTCTTTTCAAAGGTAATTTATGGAGAGCAGTAGATGCTGACTGTGTGAGTGGACATTAATCTGAGGGACAATGGACATGTGTGATGATTTTTTAACCAGGATTTTTCTGTGTTTTCAGGTGTTCAGTGTGAGGTGCAGCTGGTGGAGTCTGGGGGTGGCCTGGTGAAGCCTGTAGGGTCCCTGAAACTCTCCTGTGCAGCCTCTGGATTCACCCTCAGTGGCTACTGGATGTACTGGTTGCGCCAGGCTCTCGGCAAGGGGCTGGAGTGGGTTGGAGAAATTAATAAAGATAGCAGTTACACAAGGTATGCGCCATCTGTGAAGGGCCGGTTCACCATCTCCAGAGACAATGCCAAGAACACTCTGTACCTGCAATGAACAGTGTGAAGTCTGAGGACACCGCCACTTATTACTGTTCTAGATACACACACAGTGAGTGATCTCAGTGTGAACCCAGACAAAAATCTCACTGTGAGGTAGCTCACGGCCACCAGGGGGCTCACAGCACGCACAGAACACAGGATAATCCCACAGACTATGAAGGCATAACTGAGCAATCTTCTCAGCAGCTTAGGCTCCTTCCATCTTCTAGTTCCCAAGAAAGTCTCTCTAAATAATTGTGCTGTGGGTGAATGTTGTCATCAAAATATCTCCTGTGTTTCTGCTGTTATTTAAGAAACATGGATGTTCCTGTGTCTTTTTTTCTCAGATTCAAGCAGATCCTCAGTCAGATTTCTTTATTAGAGTAGCATTATATTTAAGGGGAAATCAAGGACAAGACGGGGCCCATTACAGGTGCACAAATATTACCTTACAGTCTGTAGTCGACAGCTGCCTCAACATTGCTATGAAACCTGTATGTCAAATACTCATAACCCAAAGATCAGGAATAAATAAACAAGACACAAATATGAGATTTGCAGGAATGAATAAATGGATAGACATCCACTCAGCCAAGTCAAGATCTACAGGTATTATAGTATTAATTTTTCGAGACGTGGCTTCTCATTGAAACCAGTATTAATAGGGATATCTCCAAGAGTCAATAGTTAAAATATAAACCACCTGCTATGTCTCACTTTGCAAAGACATGGGAAGGAAATTTGAGTGTGAACACAGACACAATCCTCCCTGTGCTCAAGACCAGTAGAGACAATGAAGTACTACTGAGGCTGCTGGGAACTAGCAGACATCCCTTGGAGTAAAGGAGGTTGGGGGCTGTCCCATGATTTCCTCAAAAACAGGCTTACAGCTGTTTAGATGTTGGAATAAGTGGCTTCCCCTTCCTGCTCTAACAATCCTTTGGAGGCTCCCTGCAATATAATATTCTATTAACTACTGTTTGTTTAGTTTCTAATAAGTGTATCAGTTTTTACCTATGGGGAATCCAAAGCATCCATGTGGCACATTGTATTTGACGAAATAAACATTTTATGAATAAACCTTTCCATATTTTTCAATGTGTCTGTAATTCTAAGAGTTGGTGATGGTGGTTAGCTCAATTGGAAATTTAAGGGAATTCTAAATCATCTGAAAACCATTCTTTTTATTTTATCACAGGTTGAAGAGTAGCCAGAGCTTCCATGATTAATGTTATTTTACACAGTTGGTGGAACAAGTGGTCTATGTTTCAGGCTTCCAACATGTGTCTGTAATAGGGCACACATGGTTATTATTTTTCACACAATTACTGTTTGAGGTTTGCATCCTTGTAAAGATTACTTTCTGACTCAGTGTCCCGTGTAGTGATGCCTTTGAAGATGTTTTCTGTACCTTCAGCTTTTGGAAATGATTAAGTGACCATTGGGTATAGGGGGAACACCGACTTGAAGGCTGGCAAGGTGACGCTGACCATGCACACTTGGGTGTGGTCAGAGTGATGTAGCAAGGCTTTAAAATGAGGGTCACCTGCATGCTGCTCTCTGTTCCCTCTCCTGCCTTGTGGTAAAGGACTGGCTCCGTAATCTGAGTACTTCCTAATAAGCAACCTGTTTTTCCCACTAGTTCTGACTCCACTGTGATCCGCATTAATTGTTAGGCTCATGCCAAATGATGTCACCTACAGTCTCTCTCACTCCCTTCCATTGGCCACAGAGGTCCTCATCACAGTTTTCTGCTAGTGTTTTCCTGTTCACATTGCCTGCATGCTCACTGCTGTGATCGCTGATGCAGCTGAAGGTAGGAGAGCTGGAGCTTTTACCTGTGAGTTAGAGAAGATCAATGGGAGAAGAGATGGTTGGTGTTGGTTCAGGGTTAAGGATTACTGTTTTGAAGAATCTGGAAAATGAAAAGAAAGTCTACTTTTCCAGGGATTAGCCTTCTCTGGATACTATGATAGTGAACTCGGCCATGTGCTAAGAAGTTTTGGTAAAGAAACAGACTATAGAATGTTGGATTACTGAGATCCAAACAATCACAACTCATTGAACAGTACAGTGTGAGGGTGAAAACCAAGATATCCACTGTTTATTCCCTGACACCAGGGAGAGGTCAGGCCACATGGCAGCCAGTTACATAGGGCGAACATAGTGAACCTGGAGATTGGGCAGACTCTTGACACAAGAAGTCTATAGATTAGTTACTCAATATGTCTTAGATATACTGAATAAAAGACACACATTTTTGAGCAATATCTAATGAATGTGAGATGACCTATTTTTGCTTGTATTTGGGCAAATAATTCTTCAACAACTATATGAGTCCAGTTGATACAAACCTTAAAAGCACCAGCCAGGGTCTCCTGATTATGGTCAGTGAGAACTGAGTTTTAAATAGGCCAGGATGGAGAGGCCACAGCATGACTGAGACTGTGACAAGTTTATTCTTTTCAAACTCAGAAAGATAAGAGTATAAAAATTGTAAGGACAGCAGGGGGCCCCATGGAGATATTAATCCCTAGGATGGAAATCAGATGATGATTGGAGGGACTCCAGAGCCCCTGTGGACTCCCTTCTTAAAGACTATCAGCTGAACAACACCTGCTACAGTTGATATGTGAAGTCAAGAATTTTCAAACACAGTAAAAATTCATTGTTAAATATTGCACAGATGTGTATTTTCTCAGTTTATAAAATATTTATTTTTGATTTTTGTAAAACTTTTATTTTCATGAAAAATATTCTGATGAAATTCTATACCCACTCCTCTCAGATATTTTCCATATTCCTACCAGAACCCTAAACCCTTTTTGTATTGAAAGCAAAAGAATATACAAAAAGAAAATTATTTAGATTCAGAAAAAAATTCACCAGTAACACACCCTGCAACATGCTGAAAAATAAAGCATTAATATCTTACAGATGAAAGAGTGAAATTTCTCACAATTTAGGAGGTTTTGTAATTTCCATTAACTATTTTCCTATGTATCTATTTTGTCATGAAAAGGAACTAATGAATCTGGTGGGATTCTATTGTAAATGGAGAGATTAGGCCATGATGTTATAACCACAATGTCTACACATGTCTCAGGAATGACTGCTTCCTCAGACAGGATGAGGATTTGGACCTCAGCATCCTGCTGCCTGACCCAGGTCTCCTCCACCTCCTTCTTCTCCAGCTGGACTATGGTCCTTATCTAAGAAGCACCCTGCTCATGAGTATGCAAATCATGTGAGTCTATGGTGGTAAATACAGTGATGTCCACACCAACTACAACACATGATCAGTGTCCTCTCCACAGTCACTGAGCACACAGGTCCTCACCATGGGATGGAGCTGGATCATCCTCTTCCTCGTGACAGGAGCTACAGGTAAGGGCTCCAAGTTCCAGACTTGAGGAGGTGCCATGTACTCAGGTGACAGTGACATCCACTCTGCCCTTCTCTCCACAGGTGTCCATTCCCAGGTCCAGCTGCAGCAGTCTGGGGCTGAGCTGGTGAAGCCTGGGTCCTCAGTGAAGCTGTCCTGCAAGGCTTCTGGCTACACCTTCACTGACTATTTTATGCACTGGGTGAAGCAGAGGCCTGGACAGGGTCTGGAGTGGATTGGATGGATTGATCCTGAAGATGGCGATAGTCAGTACAACCAGAAGTTCCAGGGCAAGGCCACACTGACTGCAGACACATCCTCCAGCACAGCCTACATGGAGCTCAGCAGCCTGACATCTGAGGACTCTGCTGTATATTACTGTGCAAGAGACACAGTGTTGCAACCACATCATGAGTGTGTCTGAAACCCTGGAGGGGCAGGAATCTGCCCTGGGACTGAGGTGACAGAGGACATCACCCTGGAGACTAGCTCAGATATAATCATTTGAGTGACGATTTTCCTTCCTCCTCTTCCTCAGAGTCATAACTGTGGTTGTCAACTTTTCATAGTTACAGCTATAAAGAAAATGATGCTGAATGAGGTCCTGAGAAAATCTCCATTTACGTGCTCCTTCTGTAATGAAAGACAAAGAGGAAAACTCTGATAATGCATAGTGAAAAAGATACCTCTGTATTCGAGGAGAGTGGAATATCAGATGGAGTAACTTTGAAAAAAATAGAATATGAATTTTACAGGGAAAGTCCAAATAAACAACATGCGACCTAACCAAACACCTCACATATTTTTAAGTCTTAAGAAACTGAATGTGTATTTTTATCTCAGGCTGGATTGCTAGCTACAATCATTACCTGAAACCAGTTTAGTCATCAGTAGGAACAATGATTGATGATCTGTGATTGCCAGGCTTCAGGGAAGGAGCTGTAGAGGATCTCAGTGGTTACTGATGGTAACAGTGAACATTACCCAGACTCCGAAGGACTTACTCACTGATTCCTGAGACAAGTCCAACAACACTGTCTATCTCCAATAACATTTGAGATTTGAGGACACTCCTGTGTATTGCTGTGCTGGAGTCACCGAGAGGGGACATCCATGTGAGCTCTGACATAAACCGTCCACTGATTGGCTCTCTGCTTTGTGTTTGCATTGAAGACATCAGCTTTCAGCTTTCTGCTCTTGCCACCACTCCTGTCCACACAGAAGCCTCCTTATAGACCCAGTTGGCACTAAGGCTACATAGGGTTTCTTCTTAAGTCCAGAATCACCATCCGCAGAAACCTGGAGTCTACAGCAGGAACAGTGAGGAGGAAGAATAGACAGGAAGTACCAGGAGGGAGGGACAGAGGAAGTGAGGAGGGGCTGGGAGGACACAGCATTGTGGGACATGGGTGGGAAGAATCAAAATACATGGTATGTCATATTTTTTAAAAAAAAGAGAAAAAATAAAATACATAGAAGTCCATGGGACTGGAAAAATTTTATTTTCTTTGTTAGGATTTGAGAGACAAACATTCAGGAAACAAATTTATGGCCAAGGATTTGTCAGCCCTTAGTTCATTAGGAGCCTGATTTGCTTCAAGTCATCACTGCATACAAAGCATAGTCCTGGATCTTCAGGTGTCTGGGCTGAGAACAAGGTTCTCTCTATAGAACACCTAGGCACCAGGACCCTGAAATCAGCTGAGGAAACATCAACTGAAAATTCCCCTAATTCTTTCCTCTTATCAATTCTCTGGTGAAGTGAAATTGATCATTTTGTTTCTTACAGTCATTCCTAAGGTTATTAAATTGATATATCCAAATGCCTTCAACTCCGCAGAGACATGTGTGGCCTATCTAGACCTGCAGGTTCATTTTTATGTGCACATGGTTCCCTTCAACTCTGTTACACATCTGTCATAATCATCCCTGGAGAATTGTCCAGCTGTGAGAAGAAAGTCACTGATATGGCAACACCTACTGTGCACAGGGGCAGAGAGCTCCAGGGGAGCCAGGCAGCAGAAGTCCATATCCACACTGGTGACCCTGGTGAGTCCTACACATCAGCTAGACTCTGGTTCAGAGCAAATCCAGACAAGATCAACCTGATGCCAAGGGAATGCAGGTCCACAGGCAATGCTGGCATCTCAGACACTCAGGGCCTCAAGGAGCAGGTGCCAACAAGGGACAGCAAGGGAGGTTACTGCATCCACTCTGAGGTTCCTCCTTTCACTTTCCCACATATAACCCCATGATATATATGAAACCTATAAGAGAAATGATTTGATCATTTAAGGGCTGATGCATAAATGACTTCACATCATCAGCTCATTGCATTTAGTTGCTTTAATAAGGTCCCTTTACCAGAGAATGCCACAAAAACATTAATGCCACAATCCACCAACCCTCTTATCTATAACAAGCACAGTTTCTCTAACAGTAGATTTAATTACTCTGTTGCACAATTAGGACCCAACTCTCCCTTCTAATAAGGGGTGGATATTCCAAGGGTCCACATGAGACTGATCTCACATCCACCAAGGAAGTCCTACATTCTCAGGAAAATTGAAGAGCTAGGAGGACATACAACCTTGGAACTGGAGATGAGGTAACAGACTCCTCTCCTTCATGAGGCACATAAACTCTTTATTGCCTTTCCTAACAGATATTATACAGAAAGCACAATGAAAATAAATTAATGCTGCTAAAATATTTATTACAAATACAATATGAGTAACATTTTAATGAAATCATGGTCCTCACTACTTCTGTCAGACATTTGCAACATTACCTGCTGAGCCAAGGGCTCACACACAACAGAGCTTGAGATAAAGAAGGAAGATATGCAAATAAAGCCTCCCTCTGCTCAGGAAAACCAGCTGTGACCTTACCAGGCAGTTCAAGCAGAGGACTCTAACCCTGTCTTCCCATTCAGTGAACAGCACTGAAAACACGACAATCAACATGGGGTTGGGGCTGCTCTGGGTTTTCTTTGTTGTGCTTTTAAAATGTAGATAACACGGGATGCTGAGTGTGTGCGGAGACATGAGTGAGAGAGACAGTAGACTTTGTGACAGTTTCTTCATCAGGATCCTCTCTGTTTGCAGGTGTCCACTGTGAGGTGCAGCTGCTTGAGTCTGGTAGAGGATTAGTGAAGCCTCAGTGGTCATTGAAACTCTCCTGTGCAACCTCTGGATTCACCTTCAGTAATGCTGCCATGAAATGGGTCCGCCAGGCTCCAGGAAAGGGGCTGGAGTGGGTTGCTCCCATAGGCACTAAAGTTATAATTATGGAACCTATTACGTGGATTCAGTGAAAGACAGATTCACCATCTCCAGAGATGATTCAAAAAGCATTGCAAATGAACAGCCTGAGAACTGAGGACACTGCCACTTATTACTGTACAAGGGACACAATGAGGAGTCTTCAGTGTGAGCCCAGAGAAAAATCTCCCTGACAGAATCCCATAGCCAAAAGGAGGCACTCAACACACATTAGGCCCAGGTTCAGACATAATTGATTTTTTTTTTATCTTGGTGCTCTCTCCACCTGCTGGTTTTCTGGGGGATCCTTTTATAATTATACACTTTAGGAATTGATAATGCCTCTAACAATCACAAATTCTGTTTTGACTAACATACTTTTTTGTTTGTTTATCCAGACAGGGTTTCTCTGCATTTTTTGGAGCCTGGCCTTGAACTTACAGATATCTGCCTGCCTCTGTCAATAGAGTGCTTGGATTAAAGGCATGCGTCACCAATGCCAGGCTTGACTAACATTTTTAAAACAATATGTCACCTATTCCTACCTGAACAAATGCAGAAAGTGTTTACGAGGGAAGAATGATTCTCTGTGGGCACCAGTTTCAGTGCCAACCTCCATTGACTTCTTTTTTTTAATGAAGAAAAACAAAGACAACCTGTGTCAATACATTATTTTGCAACTTGGCCCCTTCTCAGATAACATTTCAGACAGAGCAATGGGATTCCACACTGGGACTGTAAGAGACCAGTTCATGTCATCAGGATGCCTGCGTACTCACTTCCCTGTTTCCTGAAGCTTGATTGTCTTTGTAACCTAGACATCAGCGACTGTAAGGTGCAAAATGCCCTCCATGCTTCTAATGTACAAACATAAAAATGTAGATAACACGGGATGCTGAGTGTGTGCGGAGACATGAGTGAGAGAGACAGTAGACTTTGTGACAGTTTCTTCATCAGGATCCTCTCTGTTTGCAGGTGTCCACTGTGAGGTGCAGCTGCTTGAGTCTGGTAGAGGATTAGTGAAGCCTCAGTGGTCATTGAAACTCTCCTGTGCAACCTCTGGATTCACCTTCAGTAATGCTGCCATGAAATGGGTCCGCCAGGCTCCAGGAAAGGGGCTGGAGTGGGTTGCTCCCATAGGCACTAAAGTTATAATTATGGAACCTATTACGTGGATTCAGTGAAAGACAGATTCACCATCTCCAGAGATGATTCAAAAAGCATTGCAAATGAACAGCCTGAGAACTGAGGACACTGCCACTTATTACTGTACAAGGGACACAATGAGGAGTCTTCAGTGTGAGCCCAGAGAAAAATCTCCCTGACAGAATCCCATAGCCAAAAGGAGGCACTCAACACACATTAGGCCCAGGTTCAGACATAATTGATTTTTTTTTTATCTTGGTGCTCTCTCCACCTGCTGGTTTTCTGGGGGATCCTTTTATAATTATACACTTTAGGAATTGATAATGCCTCTAACAATCACAAATTCTGTTTTGACTAACATACTTTTTTGTTTGTTTATCCAGACAGGGTTTCTCTGCATTTTTTGGAGCCTGGCCTTGAACTTACAGATATCTGCCTGCCTCTGTCAATAGAGTGCTTGGATTAAAGGCATGCGTCACCAATGCCAGGCTTGACTAACATTTTTAAAACAATATGTCACCTATTCCTACCTGAACAAATGCAGAAAGTGTTTACGAGGGAAGAATGATTCTCTGTGGGCACCAGTTTCAGTGCCAACCTCCATTGACTTCTTTTTTTTAATGAAGAAAAACAAAGACAACCTGTGTCAATACATTATTTTGCAACTTGGCCCCTTCTCAGATAACATTTCAGACAGAGCAATGGGATTCCACACTGGGACTGTAAGAGACCAGTTCATGTCATCAGGATGCCTGCGTACTCACTTCCCTGTTTCCTGAAGCTTGATTGTCTTTGTAACCTAGACATCAGCGACTGTAAGGTGCAAAATGCCCTCCATGCTTCTAATGTACAAACATAAACTTTTTTGTTAAATGCAATGAGGCCAAATTATGACTTCTCTTGATTCTTGACTCTGTTAAAACTTTTACATGTCTGATTCCAAAATTTTCTTTCTTTGTATGCTTTTGTTGTGTGTGTTTGAGTGTGTGTGTGTGTGTGTGTGTGAGAGAGAGAGAGAGA